GTGGTGGTGGTGGTGGTGGTGGTGGTGGTGGTGGTGGTGGTGGTGGTTGGGGTTGCGGTTCCGGTTGCGGTTGCGGTTGCGGTTGCGGTTGCGTTTGTTGTTGTTGTTGTTGCTGTTGCTGTTGCTGTTGCTGTTGCTGTTGCTGCTGCTGCTGCTGCTGCTGCTGCTGCTGCTGCTGTTGTTGTTGTTGTTGTTGTTGTTGTTGTTGTTGTTGTTGTTGTTTTTCTTTTCTTTTCTTTAACCAATCAAACCTGGGGAGCACTACTGGAACTTCAACCTGCAGAAGATTTGCGAACTTGAACAGACACAACTTCGTTCGACCATCATGAAACTATGTTTGGGCCGGCCTATATTGAACCTACAGTATATAGTAGCTCAATTTGGTTCGCGCACTTCTGAAAGCACACAAATGCTGTGCCAAGTTGTACCACTCTTGAGAAAGACAAACAGATTTGGAGAAGAGGCGTTTTAAGGTGTGCAGATTGTGGCAGTCATGTGCATTATAGTATTCTATAGTAGCTCCATGTGCTCCAAAACGGCCAATTCATGTGACTCTCGCGACCTTCTCGTGTGAATTTCACAGCGCTAAACAGGTGCTGTTTTGAGTCGCTCAGGTGGCGGTGGTGGTCTTGGGGCCCTTCCACTTTCTGAGTCCCTTAGCGTGGTCGGAGTCTTCCGACGGCTTCGCCCCGCGGAGACATGCGGAGACGGAACCGATCTGGGCAGGTGGTGGGTGTGGGTTTCTCTTACAACTAATCGCTATCAAAAGGGCCCCCGGTAGACCGGGAGCCGAACTAGGAGAGCCCGTGACCCCCAAAATGATCAAACATGTGCTCAAAGGAGGTACTGTTGCTTTTGCATCTCAATCATAGATAGCGTCGATAGCATTCGATGGGTTCCCTACTTCAATTGATACACAATCAACTTGTCACAGTGAGAGGAGGGAACATGCTCTCCTCCAGTCGCAAACAAAGTGTTCCATGCTCTTCACTCCTCCAGGTCTCATTCAGATCTTTCACTTCTTGCATACTTTGTTTCATCATGGGCAGAGTGGCTTTGCTTTGCTCACCAACATCCTAACTGCCCTGGGAACGCTGGTTCGAATCTACTTTCTGGTGATGCTTTGCATAAGTCCCGTGGACCAGAGGATGTTCCTGCTGAAGATCATTACTAAACTTGTAGCTTGGTCGGTGAAGTTATGTGAAGTTCTGAGAGGCGAGTTGAGTGAAAAGGACAGCCACAGAGATGCAACACATGAATGTTGTTTGAGTTTCGACATGTCTCAACGCTTTTTGCGGAAGCTATTAGTACTTTCAAGAGTGTGAGGAGATAGACCTAGTGATGGACTTGTATTTTTTGTAATGAAGCCTTGGGGGTTCAGTGTGACTTGGGTCGTCGCGGCTGGGGACGACGATGACAAAGCGCCGGCCACGCCTTTGCAACGCGACCGATGAGGTGGCCGCCACATATATTCCATTGGCACTTGTTGTGGCGGTCATGAGCCATTATTTCAAGGAGAGATTGTTGATCGCACTGAAGATTGTTTTTCTGTACCTTGGGCTGCCTTGGGTTGGCTTTCGGAAAAGTCGAGTCGTTTCAGTGGAATTGATTCTGTAGAGCTCAGTTGAAGTAAAGTAATCTATGTGTGGCGGCATAAACAAAATCCACATTTTGGGTGGCAAACGACTTCCTGAAAGGGAGACACTGCCAACAGCTCGGGCGAGTACCCTCCTGCCCACTACTGGTACATATACTTTGCCAATTGCTTGCAAGACGCTCCATTGCTAATTGTGCATCCACGCACCCCAAGTTCTTAGGCAGATTCTGCCGTACAATGGGTCTCATAATTATATATACTTATATACTGCATCTTGATGCTTCAGCCCACTCCACACTAATTAATGAAGCTCCCAAAAAGAGGAGAAACCCTTTGTGCAGCCAACTGACGAAAGGATTAACGTGTTTGTTTGGAGGGTACTTGATACACGTGTTTTTCCACTAGCAGTACACTGCAGGTGTTTTCACTTGACCTTGTTCGTCACCTTCTTTTTCGCTTTGCTGGGCATCCCGGGCACTTTGAAGCTGCCAGGCTGGGTTTGTTTGAACCGTTTTTACCCCTTCCAGTCTTCCAGTCTTCCAGTCGCTGGCCGCAATCCGCTGCAGGTGGCCGCTGCATGTTGCACTACATCCTGGCAAGACAAGGTACTTTTGAGAGATACACGGAGATGTGCCCAAGATGTGACAGTTATGTGGGCACGTTTTTGTTTTCCTTCTCCTGTTTGGTTCTTCTTTCAACAGGTTGTGGCATGCATCAATGGTGTTTGGATGATGGGAACACACACAACAGGCATCAGACCTCCAAATATTTTGGAAGCATACAGCAAATGCTCCAAATAGAAGGTGAGCAGGAGTATCCAAAACCACGAGACCTCATCATTTTGTTCCATGAATCCCACATGGTTCTTTTTCAGACAACTGTCCCTCCTCTAGGCCTCAGTCTCCCGGCACATCCCAAGCCTGGTATTCTTTTGGGCCTAAACAGCAGCAAGAAGTACTTCTTTCCCCTGAGTCCGAGGGCCTTATGAAAACACCATACCAACGATTTTCTCCAGGTCAATGGGTCAATTGAGGCAACGGCAAGATTCCATCACCAGTAGCGAGGAGGATTGAGAGGTCGCGGCCCGTGAAAAGCGCTTGGAACATTTGCAAGGCCCGGGCAAGGGTGGTCTTCCCCAAGTTGCTCGTCGCCTGGACGAGCAACAGTCCTCTGGTCAAAAGAGGTAGACCATGTTGCCGTTGCTGTTGCTGTTGTACCGGCTCGACCAACGGCTGTTTGAAGTGCAAAATACAACGTGTTATAATGTGTTATATACATATAACATACATATAACCTGTCAGCCTTCTGAAGTGGTTGCTGGGATGTTTTTGGAGGGAATTGGGCTTCAGAAACGAGTTCTTTCCGTGGAACACTGTAGTCTGTTTGTCCTTTGGTCTATATATGATTTGTGGTCACCAGCTGTTTTGTATACTGGAGCAGGGTTTGGGCCCACAGGATGTTGAGGCTCAAAGACTGATTGCCTCACTGAAGAGACTGGCAAGGAAGTATGAGTGGGTCTGTTTAAGTCTCACTAGTGACCCACAATAACGGAACTGGATCCACTGTTCAGTTCTTTGCATCAGTGGGAGCATGAAGATTACCACATTGTTATACCAACCAATCAAATTCAAACAGCTACCTAAGGACCTATATCATAGGAGCTCGCTTAACTTCTGGAATGGCTTAGCTTGGGGCGAACGGGTTCGTTTTCGAGGCCTGCGAAGCCTGGTGCTCCAAGCCGCCATCCAATTGGCCGACCCAGCAAGTCCAGAACAAAAGAGGGCAATGCTTTCGGGACGTGTCTCGCCGGGGGTGATGCTGCAGACCCCGGTGATTTCGGATCTTTTTCGGAGAAAACATGGCGGCAAAAGCGAACCCGAAGGTACTCGTCGTTCTGCAACACATTCGGAAGCTTAAGGTCCAGGTGTCATTCGAACCAGGGCTTACTAAGGGCCCCCCCTGGCAGCATCCTGCATCATCCGGCCATCAGGCACTAGGGGGCCGGATTTCAATAGAGGACGTCACAGAGTTGCCCAGAGCACGGAATCCTCACAAAACTATACTTGCTCGTCATTTTGGATCAGGAGCTGGTCATGAGAGGACAACATGAACATGCTCCTTGCGTTTCGATCAGTTTCCTTGGAGCTTCCATGAATTCAAATTCTCTGATGATCAAACCATAGTCCATAGTCATGTGTTGAGAGTGTGCCTGAATTACGGCGCATTCCGACCAAAACCAAAAGAACAGCAGTCTCCAATGATTGCTCATGTTTACTCCCACGCCGATGTTGATCCGGCGACAGCGGCGCCGCACGACGACCTTGGAAGCGATTTGCATGCACGAATGCGTGACTCCTGATCGATGGTGTGTGACCAAAGCAGATCTGAGATATCTCAGGCGCCAAGTGACGGAAGCCATTCAGGAGCGGACCTGGAGGTGGCGACACCGTGGACTTGGATGGGGTGTTTTGATTTCAAGTCTGATAAATTCAGGTGCTGTAGGAGGTTGTTTCTTTCAACTGTCGTTCTTTTCACTGGGCAAGGTGGTTTCTTGAGTCACCCAGAGGGACTGTGTGTGATTTTGATGACTCTTGCTTGGAGCTAATCCGTTATAGCCTCATCGAGTGCAGTCTTCGTCCCGTTTGCGTTTTGGTTTATGTGTTCTGTTCCTTGCTTCACGGCGTGACTTGATCTATCAAAGGCTATAGTATATAGTTCCATTGTCCGAGTACCAAAAGGCGAGGAAATCAGAAACACAGATCAAACAGGGGTTCTTTGTGAGAAAAAGACCCTGCAAACGTCTGGAGGGAGATAGAGGGAGCCCGTTTCTCCAGCTTCATACAGCCTATTGAGAATCCCACCGCATCAGGCAAGCAAAAGCTTTCAATTTTTGGAGACTAGACACTGACAACTAGGCTTCGAGGTTTTCCCTCCTATGATCTTGACGACAATTCAGGTGCTGTGAATAAGTATTTGTTAGCACAAGTGAGTGCAGTGACAGTAAGTGCATTTTGAAGCGGAGAGCTTTATCTAACAATCTCTTTGCGTAGAAAAAGGAGGAGGGAAGACACTCCATACAATACAGGAAAAGATTCTAGCAAAGCCTGAAAACACATACAGACAACACTGCTGTATTATTTGGTTTATATTTATTCAATATATGAGACGTTACTTGATAGACACCCAATCCCCTCAGGAGGGTCAACTTCCATCCTCTTGCATGGCCAACGACTCGCTGGCAAGCAGTGACAGTGAGGAGAGTGAGGAAAGCGCTGATGAAAGGAAATTTGGGCCCAGTATCTATGAAGTCACTGAGAAGTACATCAAACCCGTCACTGCCGATGCCGGTAAGATGAGTTGGGCCTTGATGCAGAACCCTGAGGGTTTGGATTGCCACCTCTTTGTGAGCCACGCTTGGCAGGAAGGCATCTTTGAATTTCTCTCGAAAGTGCTCACTTCGTGGCCTTCAGGAGCGCACAACGCGTGGTGTTGCATGCTGGCGAACCCCCAACATCTGAACATTGGTTCCATGTTGCAGTCGCCCAAGACCTCACCCTTCGCCTTGGCTCTACAAGCGTCTCGCTATGTCTTGGTGGTGCCCAATCGTCACCAGAGCGTCTACTGTCGCCTTTGGTGCGGCTATGAGGCCTACGTCGCCTCGGAGAATGAGAAGATCATCCAAATCGCTGCAGCTCCCTGTTGGATCTCCAAATCATGGGCCTTCATTCGGGTCACCTGCCTGTAAGAACTGAGATCGAACTGGAGATGCGAACTGGTTTCTCCCAGATGCGAAAGTCTGGGAGACGGCCATTTTGTTTTGGGTTCATCCAATGGAAGAAGTCCTGCAACCCACATGAAAACGGTTGGTTTTCATGAGCGTTCCTGCAGAATGACCCGCCGGGTGCGGGTCTATTTTCTTAAGCAGGGTTGTCACTTGAGGCTCCACTCACATGTGGTGTGCGGTTGGAAGTTTAAAGTGTGTGTGTTCATGTTTAAATCCAATAGCACATTTGTTTAAAGAAATGCTGGCACCAGCCACCAGATGTTGAAGGCGATGGTGCCTATTCTGCTGGGAGTCTTCATCGGTTTGTTGGCACCCTCACCGTCCTGGCACATCAAAGCAACTGTCGCACTTATGGGGGCCTTGGCAACGCTGATCAGCGCGTACACCGCTAATCGCTGGCGGTTACTGGCGAACCATGCTTCCCAGCACTGACCCCGAATAGATTGTGCTTTTGTCTTTGTGACCGGCGTGCACGCGCGCAAGTGTGTGTGTGTGTAGGTGTGTGAGTGTTGTTTCTTTTCTGGGCTCTAATGAAGGACATCAAGATGTGTTGAATGTCCATCGACATTGTATATGTGGCCTATGTCGTTTGTTCTCAGAGCAGAGTCTTTGAGTGTAACAAACCACATAGGCGTATAGTTACACATGTACAGATCACGTACACAGTAGCTTCTTGTTACTAGTAGTAATGGCCTCCAACCTAATAGCGATGGCCTCCACCTAGTAGTTTCTTGCTACTTGTAGCTTCTTGCTACTAGTAGAAAGGCCAGGAGCTACTGGTAGCGTCCTTGCTCCTAGTAGCGATGCCCTTTGCTCCTAGTAGCTTCTTAGTAGTCAGTATATGATATGTCACACATCTGCGACATTTTGCCAACCGTTTGCTGAAGATCCAAAGGTTGGGCTTGTGGCATCGACGTATTTGGAGAGCTTGGGGGAGCCGTTTGGCGTCTTGGATGCTATTTAAAACATGACTAATAACACTGGCACATCTGAGGTGGGGCACTTGGGACGATATGTTAAGGTACTTGAGGTGCCTTTCGCGTCAGGTTTGGGTTTCCTCTTCAAGTACCTCTAATGACAGCTTGTTTACCGCACTTGCTACAGGCGGAACCAAACAGAAGCATATAGTAACAAAATGGATTGGTTGGGAGGTCCTCTATCAAAATACACACCCACGAGGGAGATGCGATGTTGTTTGAGGAAGTTTTTACGGCTCAAGTCGCTCCAACGACATCTCCAGGCCTGACGGGTGCGAGCCCCGTCATGTGGCAGCAGGCCATGCATCGTGTGACCTGGGCATCCGCCATCAGTGCCTGGGACGAGGAGAAGATCTCCACCAGTAAGGGGGGGACTCAAATCAAAAGTCTCTGTGGAATAGCATAAATGATTCTAGTGTCTCTCTCTCTCTCTCTGTATATTATAGTTCACATAGTGTCACATGTAATATGTATATACCATGCTTATCCAACATGATCCCAATGATTGGCCGCTAAGCCTTTAAGTCGAACCTGCTTCACCTTCTCACGAGTCTTACCGACATCTTAGCTACCACACTGGACTCGAGGTCCAGACATCACGACAGGATTTAAAGCCAATGAAATCACAACTGTTTGTACCAGATAGCCAGATAGCACTGTAGCACCCAAGTTGCCAGAAACATTCCAATCCACATCAATCCACCATTTCACTGGTTCCTATCATCTACAACCCTTCATTTGGCCCTTTGGCCCCCGATCGCCCGACACCGCCTTCACCCAGACACCGATCGCCCGAACCCGAACCGGTCGGGGTCGCGCCCGAACCCGCCGGTTCAGGCTACTTCTTGATGGCCGAGTTGGACCGAGTGCACAGCCTTCAAATCGAACAAGAAGGTCGACAGCTTCGTAGGCGACTGACGACCGTGGACGACCGTGGGCGACTGACGACTGTGGTCTTTTTGTTGAGGGGAAGATCGGGGGGAAGCAGACATGTAGATCAATGTCACCAGCAGTTGTGCTAAGCATTCCGATGTGGTCCATCGTTGCTTGTTCCTACGTCAGTTGCGTTGGGAAAATGAAGAAACCCACAGATCTGGTTCATCTGAGTTCAAGCATTCTACCGGTCTCGTTTTTGGACGTCTGAAACGTTTGGTTTGATGATATGATTTGATCATATGTGATCGATTCATATGATGTTTGAAAGTTGCTTCACACAATCTCACACACCCTAGGGATCCAAGTACCCTCTGAGAAGGTGATTGGAGACACTCTCATGTAGGTTTGGAGGGTCCAAGTACCTTCTGAGAAGGTA